GCACGAAACCCGGGTCCAGGGTTTCCTGTTGACTACCTCCAACCACCATCTAATCTCATTACATAGTGCCCGCAGTGTCGAGTCACCTAGACTGGTGGCCACATTGCAACATGATCGATAGCATTCGATCTGCACTAATAAGGACTAGACAAGCATGAGATTGATCACCACCCAGTGATCAATCAATTGTGATTACATCTCAGTCCTACAGGAGGTTAGTCACGGCTCGGATAGCTCAGTGGTAACGTCTCTGACTGTGAAGCTGGGTGACACGAGATCGAATCCGCCAGGGAGCACCAGTTCCCTCAAGATTACAGGTACACCTTGCTGACGAGTGCCAAGTAGCACGAAACCCGGGTCCAGGGTTTCCTGTTGACTACCTCCAACCACCATCTAATCTCATTACATAGTGCCCGCAGTGTCGAGTCACCTAGACTGGTGGCCACATTGCAACATGATCGATAGCATTCGATCTGCACTAATAAGGACTAGACAAGCATGAGATTGATCACCACCCAGTGATCAATCAATTGTGATTACATCTCAGTCCTACAGGAGGTTAGTCACGGCTCGGATAGCTCAGTGGTAACGTCTCTGACTGTGAAGCTGGGTGACACGAGATCGAATCCGCCAGGGAGCACCAGTTCCCTCAAGATTACAGGTACACCTTGCTGACGAGTGCCAAGTAGCACGAAACCCGGGTCCAGGGTTTCCTGTTGACTACCTCCAACCACCATCTAATCTCATTACATAGTGCCCGCAGTGTCGAGTCACCTAGACTGGTGGCCACATTGCAACATGATCGATAGCATTCGATCTGCACTAATAAGGACTAAACAAGCATGAGATTGATCACCACCCAGTGATCAATCAATTGTGATTACATCTCAGTCCTACAGGAGGTTAGTCACGGCTCGGATAGCTCAGTGGTAACGTCTCTGACTGTGAAGCTGGGTGACACGAGATCGAATCCGCCAGGGAGCACCAGTTCCCTCAAGATTACAGGTACACCTTGCTGACTAGTCCCAAGTAGCACGAAACCCGGGTCCAGGGTTTCCTGTTGACTACCTCCAACCACCATCTAATCTCATTACATAGTGCCCGCAGTGTCGAGTCACCTAGACTGGTGGCCACATTGCAACATGATCGATAGCATTCGATCTGCACTAATAAGGACTAGACAAGCATGAGATTGATCACCACCCAGTGATCAATCAATTGTGATTACATCTCAGTCCTACAGGAGGTTAGTCACGGCTCGGATAGCTCAGTGGTAACGTCTCTGACTGTGAAGCTGGGTGACACGAGATCGAATCCGCCAGGGAGCACCAGTTCCCTCAAGATTACAGGTACACCTTGCTGACGAGTCCCAAGTAGCACGAAACCCGGGTCCAGGGTTTCCTGTTGACTACCTCCAACCACCATCTAATCTCATTACATAGTGCCCGCAGTGTCGAGTCACCTAGACTGGTGGCCACATTGCAACATGATCGATAGCATTCGATCTGCACTAATAAGGACTAGACAAGCATGAGATTGATCACCACCCAGTGATCAATCAATTGTGATTACATCTCAGTCCTACAGGAGGTTAGTCACGGCTCGGATAGCTCAGTGGTGACGTCTCTGACTGTGAAGCTGGGTGACACGAGATCGAATCCGCCAGGGAGCACCAGTTCCCTCAAGATTACAGGTACACCTTGCTGACGAGTCCCAAGTAGCACGAAACCCGGGTCCAGGGTTTCCTGTTGACTACCTCCAACCACCATCTAATCTCATTACATAGTGCCCGCAGTGTCGAGTCACCTAGACTGGTGGCCACATTGCAACATGATCGATAGCATTCGATCTGCACTAATAAGGACTAAACAAGCATGAGATTGATCACCACCCAGTGATCAATCAATTGTGATTACATCTCAGTCCTACAGGAGGTTAGTCACGGCTCGGATAGCTCAGTGGTGACGTCTCTGACTGTGAAGCTGGGTGACACGAGATCGAATCCGCCAGGGAGCACCAGTTCCCTCAAGATTACAGGTACACCTTGCTGACGAGTGCCAAGTAGCACGAAACCCGGGTCCAGGGTTTCCTGTTGACTACCTCCAACCACCATCTAATCTCATTACATAGTGCCCGCAGTGTCGAGTCACCTAGACTGGTGGCCACATTGCAACATGATCGATAGCATTCGATCTGCACTAATAAGGACTAGACAAGCATGAGATTGATCACCACCCAGTGATCAATCAATTGTGATTACATCTCAGTCCTACAGGAGGTTAGTCACGGCTCGGATAGCTCAGTGGTAACGTCTCTGACTGTGAAGCTGGGTGACACGAGATCGAATCCGCCAGGGAGCACCAGTTCCCTCAAGATTACAGGTACACCTTGCTGACGAGTCCCAAGTAGCACGAAACCCGGGTCCAGGGTTTCCTGTTGACTACCTCCAACCACCATCTAATCTCATTACATAGTGCCCGCAGTGTCGAGTCACCTAGACTGGTGGCCACATTGCAACATGATCGATAGCATTCGATCTGCACTAATAAGGACTAGACAAGCATGAGATTGATCACCACCCAGTGATCAATCAATTGTGATTACATCTCAGTCCTACAGGAGGTTAGTCACGGCTCGGATAGCTCAGTGGTGACGTCTCTGACTGTGAAGCTGGGTGACACGAGATCGAATCCGCCAGGGAGCACCAGTTCCCTCAAGATTACAGGTACACCTTGCTGACGAGTCCCAAGTAGCACGAAACCCGGGTCCAGGGTTTCCTGTTGACTACCTCCAACCACCATCTAATCTCATTACATAGTGCCCGCAGTGTCGAGTCACCTAGACTGGTGGCCACATTGCAACATGATCGATAGCATTCGATCTGCACTAATAAGGACTAGACAAGCATGAGATTGATCACCACCCAGTGATCAATCAATTGTGATTACATCTCAGTCCTACAGGAGGTTAGTCACGGCTCGGATAGCTCAGTGGTAACGTCTCTGACTGTGAAGCTGGGTGACACGAGATCGAATCCGCCAGGGAGCACCAGTTCCCTCAAGATTACAGGTACACCTTGCTGACGAGTCCCAAGTAGCACGAAACCCGGGTCCAGGGTTTCCTGTTGACTACCTCCAACCACCATCTAATCTCATTACATAGTGCCCGCAGTGTCGAGTCACCTAGACTGGTGGCCACATTGCAACATGATCGATAGCATTCGATCTGCACTAATAAGGACTAGACAAGCATGAGATTGATCACCACCCAGTGATCAATCAATTGTGATTACATCTCAGTCCTACAGGAGGTTAGTCACGGCTCGGATAGCTCAGTGGTAACGTCTCTGACTGTGACGCTGGGTGACACGAGATCGAATCCGCCAGGGAGCACCAGTTCCCTCAAGATTACAGGTACACCTTGCTGACGAGTCCCAAGTAGCACGAAACCCGGGTCCAGGGTTTCCTGTTGACTACCTCCAACCACCATCTAATCTCATTACATAGTGCCCGCAGTGTCGAGTCACCTAGACTGGTGGCCACATTGCAACATGATCGATAGCATTCGATCTGCACTAATAAGGACTAAACAAGCATGAGATTGATCACCACCCAGTGATCAATCAATTGTGATTACATCTCAGTCCTACAGGAGGTTAGTCACGGCTCGGATAGCTCAGTGGTAACGTCTCTGACTGTGAAGCTGGGTGACACGAGATCGAATCCGCCAGGGAGCACCAGTTCCCTCAAGATTACAGGTACACCTTGCTGACGAGTGCCAAGTAGCACGAAACCCGGGTCCAGGGTTTCCTGTTGACTACCTCCAACCACCATCTAATCTCATTACATAGTGCCCGCAGTGTCGAGTCACCTAGACTGGTGGCCACATTGCAACATGATCGATAGCATTCGATCTGCACTAATAAGGACTAGACAAGCATGAGATTGATCACCACCCAGTGATCAATCAATTGTGATTACATCTCAGTCCTACAGGAGGTTAGTCACGGCTCGGATAGCTCAGTGGTAACGTCTCTGACTGTGAAGCTGGGTGACACGAGATCGAATCCGCCAGGGAGCACCAGTTCCCTCAAGATTACAGGTACACCTTGCTGACGAGTCCCAAGTAGCACGAAACCCGGGTCCAGGGTTTCCTGTTGACTACCTCCAACCACCATCTAATCTCATTACATAGTGCCCGCAGTGTCGAGTCACCTAGACTGGTGGCCACATTGCAACATGATCGATAGCATTCGATCTGCACTAATAAGGACTAGACAAGCATGAGATTGATCACCACCCAGTGATCAATCAATTGTGATTACATCTCAGTCCTACAGGAGGTTAGTCACGGCTCGGATAGCTCAGTGGTAACGTCTCTGACTGTGAAGCTGGGTGACACGAGATCGAATCCGCCAGGGAGCACCAGTTCCCTCAAGATTACAGGTACACCTTGCTGACGAGTCCCAAGTAGCACGAAACCCGGGTCCAGGGTTTCCTGTTGACTACCTCCAACCACCATCTAATCTCATTACATAGTGCCCGCAGTGTCGAGTCACCTAGACTGGTGGCCACATTGCAACATGATCGATAGCATTCGATCTGCACTAATAAGGACTAGACAAGCATGAGATTGATCACCACCCAGTGATCAATCAATTGTGATTTATGGAATTTTAATATTATCCTAACCCATCCAACGCATTAAATGCGAACTTGCACAGTGTGAGTTTTAAGCCTGAGTACATCATTAGTTTTATGCTGTTCTCGCTGATAGTTCGGGACGGAATTTTCAGGTGAACAAATCAGTGTCACTGTATATCTAATGAAAGTTATGTTAGTAGCGTTCCCGGTGTAAGTAGAAAATACAACAGTTTCCATTACCATTGTTATCACACAAAGCACCAATCAGCTTCATAAATATTTTGTTTCAAATAGAAAAATTCAAATACTCATGTTACATTATAAACTCAAAACTGGTATGTGATATATAGGACTAACCTTCTCAACAGGATTCGCATTATTACCAGTATTCGAGTTTTCGCTGTTGTATTTGCTAAAATTCGTGACTCCGCTATAACTATCCTTATGAAGATGACTATTGGGATTGTCAGATATCTTCACTACTTGTTTCTGAGTCATAAAACCAGAGTGAGACTCCGCAATTTCATTTTCGCCATCACTATCCTCTACAAAATTCAGGTACGATATACCAATAAAGACTTCAGTACTAATAGTGAAGATCGAACGAACACAAAAAGCCTGCGATCTGGCATACGTATATTATGTACTTAAAAAGAACACAGAGTGAACAGCTACCTAAAGTGAAATTCCAGATCATTTATGATCATTTTACATTTTACACTAGAACTAGAATCTAAATGATAACCAATAGGCTGGTGATAAGATTACCGATGCATAACTTCTATACTTTTCACCATTAAAGAATAATTTTCAACATTAGCTTTTCGTAACAGCACTTCGTGAAAATAATTAGCGTACATGAAGATACACTCGTTCGAAACAATCCTTAATAAATGTCTGAAAAACATTAATCAATCTGATCATTTTGCTGATAATCAACTAAATAACACACACCTTTGTGAACCTCTTTGATACACTTTAGTTGGTCATGATTTGTGCATCAGGTCTACATTCTAGCTTTTTCATAGTACAAGAAGGTACCATGCCATATTGTGGTAAGCTGTAGACGTGAAATTCTCATGAAAGTTGATCTCGACAATGGAATTATTTTCAGAGACTTTTACCCGAATATATGTAACCTGAAAACTTGCAATGACATAATATAGGTGTTGTGTATTTTGGATTATTCTGTACACATCAAAACACTTTCATTAATATATTTGTGGCTAAAGTCTTATTTTGACTAGATTGATATCATCTTCAGGGAATGAATATACATATAGTAATCTAAAACAAAATCATTTAACTTGTCAATACTCAAATCGCTAAAATATATAATTAAATCACATATTAGCAATGTAGAGGCTATAAACCACCTAAAATCAATAAGCTATCATGGATCTATCCCAGCCAGAAGCACAAATCAAAAAAATTAAGCCAGAAATGTATAAAGAATAGAGTAGCTGAGTGATGATTTTCCATGTTGTTAGCGGGACATAGACTAGATTAAAGCATGCTCAATGCATGATTGCTTTGGTGCACGCTGATTGGCTAATTCTTATCCAATCAGCACTAGTCGATAGTTGGAGAATACTCTGGAATCTTCTTATGTAAAAACTATAAATATACTGACGTTTTTCCCTATTGTGCTTCTGACTTGCTTCTTACTTCCATCTAACCTTGTTATTTGGAATATAATCTCTTCCTGTTCAACCGTGTTTTGATTTGGGGACTTGTCGAGTGAATCGGTGTCCGAGAATACTAAGCAATAGAAATAGCTGGGTCATAACCGTGAGAAGAAAGAGATTATAACAGTGGCGACGGGGAAAAACTAAAGAAAAATGGCGATTTCTTTAGAACAGTTGCGGTTAATATTACAGCACCAGCAGAAGTTGTTAGCCTTGCAACAACAACTATTGAGCACACTTTTCACTCGACCAGAAAATAAGAAATCTGTTTATGATGCAGTAACAGACATTGCAGAAGCACATCTAGTGGAGGGTTCAAATCCCTTTATACCTGAATCAGAACGTAATATTTGTAACGTGTCCGGCTCACAGCAAGAAAATACTGTGCTGAATGCTCATAAAGTTGTGGCAATACGAAATGATCAAGAGCCAGACCCTGTAGATGAAGCCCGGAGTCCATAATTGAATGAAACACTACTGGTTCTGTCTAGCTCTGAAAATAAACTTCAGCTAGAACAAAATTATGGTCCACGTGATATTAGCCGAAAAAGCTATGGGGACTCGTATTCAGAAAATAACTGCAGTGACACGATGAACCCAAATATACTGAATGTTACTCAAAATCATTGTGAGACAGAAATTTATACCGAATCAGCTTATCCGATTTCTAATGACAATGTATCAGATATGGGTTCTCAGAATAATGCATGTAATTTTGATGAAATTTCTTATAGAAATGAGGAAGATATGTCAGCCGAGTCCAAATCTCTTTCTTTAGTAGCTGCCTTTCAAACAAACTATGACAATCAGAGAAAGTATGTTACCATCCAGATAAACGGCATATCAGCTCGTCTTCAAATTGACACGGCATCAGATATCACGTTAGTGTCTAGAGAAACGTATAACTTGCTGGGTAAACCGCCAATGAAGCCATCTAAGAAAACGGCTAAAATCGCATCAGGTGGTGTGCTAAAACTGGTTGGTGAATTACAGTGTGAATTTTCCTTCAATGGAACTGACTGTACAGGAATATGTTACCTAACAGAACGGCCGAACCTTGATCTTCTTGGTCTAGATATGCTAGACAAACTTGGAATAATGGATATACCAATTAACAGTGTCTGTAACGTATCGTGTTCATCATTGGACACCCCATTACTTCCAAAGAAGACAGGTGAACGGTTACTAGAAAAACTGAAAAGAAAGTTTGCCTCTGTTTTTCAGAATAGCCTTGGCCACTGTACCAAGATGAAAGCGCACTTACCAATGAAACCAGATGCCATACCTATTTTTCGCCCGAGACGTCCTGTACCATATGCTGCTCTTGAGCTAGTCGACCAGGAACTTAATCGCTTGCAGCAGGCTGGTGTAATCCGACCAGTTAACTACTCTGCATGGGCCGCACCGATTGTAGTGATTAAGAAGGCCGATGGGACTATACGCATATGTGCCGATTTCTCGACCGGTTTAAATGCTGCATTAGATGTATATCAATATCCCTTACCAGTTCCGGAAGACCTGTTTGCCAAGCTTAATGGTGGGACATGTTTCGCGAAAATAGACTTCTCCGATGCTTATCTCCAAGTGGAAGTAGATGAAGATAGTAGAGAGCTTCTGACCATTAACACTCATCGAGGGTTATTACAATACACCCGTCTACCATTTGGCATCAAGACCGCACCCGCCATCTTTCAGCAAATAATGGATACGATGCTAACAGGTATACCTGGTACAGCAGCTTATCTAGATGATATCATAGTTATGGGTTCAACTGACAGTGAACTTTCTGATCGACTACACCAAGTCCTTAACCGAGTGTTGGAGTATGGCTTCCAACTACGTGAGGAAAAATGTATCTTCTTCATGCATTCGATCAAATACCTTGGTTTTATCTTAGATAAGAACGGTCGCCGACCAGACCCTGCCGACATCGAAGCCATTCAGAAGATGCCTGCACCAACTGATGTTTCTTCATTAAGATCCTTCTTGGGGTTAATCAGTCATTACAGCACATTCTTGCCTGAAATGCACCGAGTGAGAGGTCCCCTAAATGAATTACTATCGAAAGATAAACCTTGGCAATGGTCAGCAGAATGTCAAGCATCTTTTGACAGAGTCAAATCAATGCTCAGCTCAAAGATTCTTTTGACGCACTTCGATCCCAGCTTGGAAATTGTTGTTGCATCTGATGCCTCTAGTCATGGAGTTGGAGCAGTGATATCTCACGTGTTTCCGGATAAATCAGAAAAGACAATTGCCCATGCTGCTAGATCACTTACTCCAGCCGAGCGAAACTACAGCCAAATTGAAAAGGAAGCTCTTGCAATCATTTTCGCAGTCAAAAGATTTCATAAAATGCTCTATGGTCGTACATTTACTCTACTGACAGATCACAAACCTTTGATTGCAATCTTTAGGTCTAAGAAAGGAATCCCTGTCTATACGGCTAATAGACTACAGTGCTGGGCAACAATGCTCCTGAGTTATGATTTTAATATCAAGTATCAGTCGACAAATACTATCGGTCAAGCTGACGCTCTCTCCCGATTACTTGGAGTTCAACATCCTGGACCAGAGGATATAATCATTGTCTCCACAGCAGTAGACCCAGAAATACGAAGTATAGTGGCAGATGCCATTCGAAACACTCCAGTGTCGTCAGATGAAGTCAGGGAAGAAACGCTTCGAGACCCAACACTACAAGAAGTTAGAAAGTTCCACCTAGAAGGGTGGCCCTCGAAAATCTATTCCACAGAGCTTCAACAGTTTTACCAGCGAAGACTCTCTCTTCCAATCATCGATGACTGTCTGCTGTTTGCCGAACGTGTCATAATTCCCAAGAAGCTACAACCAGCAGTGCTTGAACAGTTGCATGCAGGACATCCTGGAATAAATAGCATGAAAGCACTAACACGAAGTTATGTATACTGGCCGCATTTAGACACCCAACTGGAGCAGCTATCCCGTTCGTGTACCAAATGTGCATTAGCATCAAAAGCACCGCGAAAAGCAGAGCTGCAATCATGGCCAATACCACAGTCACCGTGGCAGCGTATACATTTGGACTTTGCTGGTCCACTTCATGGACAAACTTACCTTTTGGTGGTTGATGCACATAGCAAGTGGCCTGAAATTTTTCTCATGGAACACCCGACTGCAAGCTGCACAGTCAGTAAACTACGTCAACTATTCAGTCGTTTTGGAATCCCGGAATTGATAGTTAGTGACAACGGAACACAGTTTACGTCCGAAATCTTATCACAATTTTGTCGGCAGAACGGAATCCAGCACCTCCGAACACCTCCATTCCATCCCCAATCAAATGGCCAAGTGGAACGCTTTGTGAGTACATTTAAAAATGCTCTAAAAAAATCCAAAGGGGAAGGGACCACTGAAGATATCTTAGAGAGGTTCCTGTTTATTTATCGCTCTACACCGAACCCTCAGACAATTAACGGGGTCTCTCCAGCAGAAGCTCTACTTGGCAGAAAGATACGAACATATTTCGATGTCATCCGTCCTACGCCAGTTATTGAACCCCAACGAAACCTATCGATGGAGAATCAGTTTTACCGACATCATGGGGCACAAAGACGATTGTTCACGATGGGACAAAAAGTGCTTGCTATGGACTATCGTGGGAAACATCCTACATGGACAGCTGGTCGGATCTTGAAAAAGAAGGGGAGTGTGGTTTACGAGGTGTCAGTTGGCTCGGAAGTTTGGGTACGCCATGCTAACCAATTGAAAGCAACTTCAATAGCCAGCAACAAGATTCAATATCAATTACCTCTTGATGTTCTGCTGGACACCTTTGAAATCAAAACGCCGGGAATAGACACATCAGTTTCTGTGCAAGAAAAGAGTGATACTTCTTTATTGCCTAGACGATGGACTAATCGAAAGCACAGGCCAGTCACTCGGTTGCAGTTGGACCCTAGCACCAGATCCTACGAATCTGCTCAGAGGGGAGGTGTTAGCGGGACATAGACTAGATTAAAGCATGCTCAATGCATGATTGCTTTGGTGCACGCTGATTGGCTAATTCTTATCCAATCAGCACTAGTCGATAGTTGGAGAATACTCTGGAATCTTCTTATGTAAAAACTATAAATATACTGACGTTTTTCCCTATTGTGCTTCTGACTTGCTTCTTACTTCCATCTAACCTTGTTATTTGGAATATAATCTCTTCCTGTTCAACCGTGTTTTGATTTGGGGACTTGTCGAGTGAATCGGTGTCCGAGAATACTAAGCAATAGAAATAGCTGGGTCATAACCGTAAGAAAAGAGAGTTATAACACATGTGTAGAAACCTAAACTGCTACAACAGAGCCCTTCGATAAGTAGAAATAAATTATGCATGTACCAAGGAAGTGTTCGGAAATTATCCAGGTGATGCAGTAACAGTTCATCATATCGCCTAATGGTAGCTGAATAACGCTCAAATACTCAGTCAGTAACAACGTATAACTTCGTACGTACGTACATCAGTTCGAGTTGCCACACCACATTAGCACAGAGATGTAATTGTCGATTTAAACTCCATAGTGGTAGAGGTAGTAAGAATATAAGCAGTAATCGGGAAGATTAGGGTTTGAAGATGTTATTCAAGGAGTATAATACAGTGAAATAAATTTGGAAAAAGAAAAAAGAAAGGGACATGAAGAATTCAGAAGATTAGAATTTGGGAGGACACAAAGAGTGGATGCACCTGCGTCATTGCAAACGATTTTGAGCCATGTCATTCAGGGTCTCTAACCATCGGTTGCTATCGTCTCGCGGTCCCCAACCAGGTAGTCTACACCTACCAACATGACTCAGTTCACTTGTTAGTGACTTCATGGACTTGTGCCATGTTTTGGTCTGGCCGCCCCTAGCTTTCTTCCAACCTACTCCTATACCACTGAACATAGCACGTCGAGGTAGTCGGTCGTTGAGCATACGTAACACATGTCCCAGCCATCTCAACTGACGAAGTTTCACCACTTCAATCGATTTGCCATCCTTACCTAATACCCGTTTCCTAACAACTGCATTGCTTACTCGGTGGTCCCGGGATATACGAGCAATGTTTCGAAGACACCCATGATCGAATACTAGTAACCCACGAACATCCTCTATTCTTATCAGCTATGTTTCACTGCCATAAAGCAGGACAGAGAGAACTGCTGAGCAGTTAACACGTCCTTTGGTTGATACACCGATATCTTGCCTACGCCATAAATGACGCAAGTTAGCAAAAGCTAGTCGCGCCTTCTGTATCCGTGCTGAGATTTCGTCACACACCAGACCATAAAGTCTGATGAGACTTCCAAGATAAGTGAAGCGGTCAACACGATGAACTACTTCACTCCCTATCATTATTTCGGGTGTCGATGCAACCCAATCCATTCAGGTTGACTGGAGATCGTGGGAAACCGAAGTGTGGCTGAAATGATCCATAAAGTGTTCTGCCCATCGATCCAATCTCCTGGATTGAGAGTGAATAATACGTCCATTTTTTCCGAGATAGTTTCGTTAACAGTTGGATTCCTAATACCGGTTTGCTCAACAAGTTTGAACAGTCGTCTGCTGTTACTTATTGCCGCAGTCTTTTCTATCTCTCTTGCTTTCGCTACCCACCAGTGTTCGCGATCATTGCGTAGGCTTCTTGTCAGCTTGCGCTCAAGCTGACTCCGCCCTTCGTTATGTTCAGATCCAGACGGGATAAGTTTTCGAGCATCTATCAGTGCGGTAGATGCTGCTGAGATCCGGTGTTGCTCCCTAACCTTATGGTTTACCGTACTAGCAGATATCACTGCTATTTCCACAGCTTTTCGGGTATCATTTCATACTGCCTCGGGGTGGGCATCACCTAAATAGCTGCCTAACTGTTTTCCTAGTTGTTCCTGAAATATACTCTTAGTTTGACTATCATTAAACAGGACCCTATGAGGTTTCCTTGCAGCGTCTTTCTTACGTCCAGTAAGACGCAGGCAAATACGCGCTCGTACTAGAACATGATCTGAATCTAAGCATGTGCTCCAGAATGAACGAGTCTTCTATCGAGCCCCTCCATCGGTGGCTGACAGCCATGTGATCTATTTGGGTCCAACGTTGGGACGAATTAGGGGGTCGCCATGTCAAAAGATGTTTTTCCTAATGCTTAAAGTTAGTATTTCCAAGGAACAGGCGGTTATCTGAGCATAACGTTCAGTGTACTCAGATCGTTTGCCCTAGCGGTGCGAGGTGATAAAGAGACGTGAGGATTGTTAGTCATGGAGATAAGAGAGGTATTAAGAGGTGTAGGAAGAATTTGAATGTGACCAACTTGGTCTCGTGTGCTGTTACGGGTATGAAGGCTGGTGTCACTTCCCGGTTGACCACACCGTGGAAGGGTATTTCTTGAGAAACCTGAAAAGGAAATTGTATTAGTGTTGGTCTTAACGACTTGGGAGCGTGACCGCAGAGCCCAAGGGACAACTGGTTGAGGCCGGTCGCGCACGGCCTTTTCGTGGAAGGTTCTTAATGTGTTAGCTCCGTTCTTCAAAGGGCCTTACCACCGGAGACGGAAATCCGTGAGGTAAGATGAGGTGTGACATTTTTAGGGTCAACCGTTTCTAACCCCCTCCTTTCTTGTGAGAAGGCAGCATCGCTGCAGATGCTTGTTGTCCGAGGGAAACACCTTACTGCTGCCACACCTCTCTACAGTCAGCAGTACAACTTCGTCCTCAGACCTTGAGTTGCTGCTTTTAGTCTTACCTTTCTTCAATCGACCTGCCTGGCATGGTAGAACCTACAGAAACATATGTTCCAGCCAATATAGCTCGGTTGGGTCATCACGATAGGCAAGCCCGACCACCACGTCAAGGTAGCGGCTACGGTCGAGAATAGGAACAATAACGGGGCGGATTTGCAATTCTCTCTGAACCTAGCACACAACAGTAGCATCATGTACTGTCTCATCGCCCTTGGCAGATCAGGCGACCCGAAAGCTATGAGAACACCATCAGGGACTACGACAGGCTAGGTACCCCAAATTTATTGTTTTTCTTGAACAAAATTATCAACAACCTGAGCAAATTACAAATCTACTAGCCATAAATATTTCTTATTATTTTCCATTCTCATTCCTTACCCTAAATCATTTATATTTTGTTCCTATAATATTATAAAATTTAAGTGATTATACTCGACTTGAAGACTAGCTATTTGATTCGCATGCATTATCGGAAATTTTAATGTCTTAAAAACCGTGAAAAATTGTGTAAAAATCTAGTTTCTTGATTTCATTACTACGATACATTCACACAACCAACGATTACTAAAAATATAAGCAGAATAAAAAACGCATCTAAAGCTGGGAAATTGTTGGATATTTACATGTTTCGAAAAGATCCTTGTCTATTACATTATTCTAAGGATGATGATAACGAGCAAAAAAATAGTTGATGCATTTATTGTGGGACACTAATACTTAATGTGTCATAAGCTTTACAAAAACTACATGGATGTGTGATTTATCAGCTTTCAGGTATTTTACAAATATTTCGATAAATATATTTGTTGGAAATAACGGAAATCTAAGGAAAACTGTATATAAGGTTACAAATTATTCAGTGAAGTCTTAAAAATTCAGATTACAATGGTAACATTTTTTGTCTACAAAAGAAGTAATCTGATTGGATTTTGAAGTTATTTATTAACTTTTCTACGTCTCTCGAACTGTGTAGCCTATATGTTTTTATTTTAACTGTTAATTAATGAATTTAGGAGAACCACTAACCTTTTTGGTGCTACATTTCTGAATATTATGTTGTTTGTCGCCCCCAAATGCCCAGGTACGGCAGAGAGTGGGGTGAACCCGCCCTCCCTCTCGACATGCTCTCACACGGCCACGCGTACACAGCCTCTGCAGAGAAGTTCTACTCACTGTCTTCTCGTGACACGGGTGTTGTTTACGAAAATGAGAGGACGAAAAGCGAATGTCCGGCGCTTTAACCGGATCTCAAACCAATGGTGCACATGGGCTCCAGTATCCTGAGGGGAAAAATGGCGTATGAACAAATCGTTGGTCACCGGCTACCATGGAACTGCATCTCCTCACGATGCTCCACTGCCTTGTGGGTCAGATCTTAAGGTAAAAGGCGCGGGGTGTGGCCCCCTAAAAAAACCACCTGCTTGGGTTTGGGCAGTATCACAGCCCACACACAAACAGAATGAAAGGACGATAGTTACGGAAAATACTCTACTTGCTTCGACTAACAGTCAAAAGGTTCACATTATTATTATTATTACTATTATTATTATTTACTAAGTCATTTATTCACTCTCTTTCATTCCCGCTCTGTTTCCTTATTTTTCGACTTATACAGTAGCTCGCTTATGGTGGAAACTCGGTTCTATCTAAACGTTCTCGAGCCACTGCCTGGTTGAAAATTGTATGCTACCACCAAATACGAATACTGAAGCAGTTTTTCTGAAACCACATGCACCATTCAAACTGGCTGCCTTCAACGTTCGCACACTTATGCAGGTCGGACAACAGATAGGGCTAGATATGTCTTTGGAAAGTCTTAATATCGATGTCTGTTATCTATCCGAGACCCCTATTCAAGACTCTGGTGAAGTACTACAAATTCGCTCTCCATCTGTCGCTTCAAAAAGTTTCTTTTACGTGCGTCTATCCGTGGACACTGTGGCATCTTAGTCCAGTTTTGCTGGCGTTGGTGTCGCACTAAGTGCTAGAGCTGAGGCAGCACTAATCGATTGGATCCTCGTTAACAGTCGGTTATGTGCTGTTAGATTAGAAAGTTCCATAAAAGTGAGAAGAAATCGGCGTGAGAAACGATGTCTCTTCGTCATCTCCGCCTATGCTCCGACAGATTGCAGCCCGGATGAAATCAAGGATGAATTCTACCACCAGTTGTTAACTGTTCTCCAGAAAGTGCGTCCTACAAATATTGTATTACTAGCCGGAGACTTAAATGCTCAGATCGGGCGTCTAGGCACAGAAGAGATTCGTTTAGGTGGCCGATGGGGACTTGTTGGTCACAGGACAGATAACGGGGACCGTCTAATGCAACTGTCCACAGACTGCGACCTGTTTCTGGTTAGCGCTAACTTTCGGCACAGTCATCGCCGATGTGCCACCTGGCGTCCTCCCTCCGTATCTCAAGCCTGGATTCGGATTGATCACATAACGATCAGCTACCGCTGGCGTGGTTGTGCACAAGACTGCCGCTCCTTTTGGAGTACTTATATGAGCTGTGATCATGTTCTTATTTGCGCCAATCTTACTTTACTTTTCAGTGGACAACGAAGTGACCGCCACCAACGGATTGATGTTAGCAAGCTGGTTACAACTTCTGTTGCTAGTAAGTATCGAACCGAGCTGGCTGCTAGGCTAGCTACCATTCCACCGAAAAGTATAGATGAGCATTGGATGCAATTGCATGACGCTATGAAAATGGCCAGTAAAGCCCCTTGCGGTTTCGCGAAACGTCCCGCTTGTAAGCACTAGGTTTCTTCAGGCTTCTTATAACTCATCGAAGCCCATCGGTTCACTCCGGGTGACCGTGAGTTTGACCACAAACGAAGGATGTTACGTAAGGAAATCGGGAAAAGCTTGCGGAAGAACCGAGAAGCCTGGTGGTCGAAGCGTGCTAATGAGCTGGAAGCAGCAGCTGCATCTGGTAATTACCGGAAGCTCTTCCAACTCATCCGAGCCACTGGCAGCAAGGAATCTGGTGTGAGCGAAACAATCTGTGAGGATGACGAAACGCCAATCACTAACATCCATCGACGTCTTGGACGATGGGCAGAATTCTTCGAAGCGCAGTTCAAGTGGTCTGCTGCTCCGGCAACATCGGTCGGACTGTCCTGCCCTCCATGGCCGGTGACGACTGATCCACCAAATGACGAGGAAGTCCGCAACGAACTCCAACTCTTGAAGCGCTACAAATCACCTGGCCTAGATGACTTACCTCCGGCCATTTCTAAAGATGTTAGTGACTTTCTGGCTAACGAACGGACGACGTTGTTTACAAAGGTCTGGGAGCTAGAGAGTGTACCAACGTCATGGGATGAGTTGATAGTTGTCTCTATCTTTAAAAAGGGTTCACGTCGTTCCTGTAACAACTATCGGGTATAAGTCTACTTCCGATTGCGCCCAAACTCTTAGCTTCTGTCATACTTCGTAGGTTGTTCAAAACCCGAGAATTATTGACTCGCGAGGAGTAGGCTGGTTTCCGTTCTTGTTGAGGATGTATTGATCACATCTTCACCCTCCACCAAATGTTAGAACACCGTCATACTTATCAAAGGCCAACAATCGTAATGATTCTTGACATCAGGGCTGCCTTCGATTCGTTGGACAGGACTGTTTTCTGGGATTGTCTAGTGAAGAAGGGTGTGCCTGAGAAGTTTGTTAACATCTTAAAGGCCCCATATACAAACACCCCAGGCAGAGTGAGGGCATACAACCACCTCTCTCCATTGTCCCATTCAAGCAGTGGGGTTAGGCAGGGTTGCCCAATCTCAACATTCCTCATCAACTTTGCCATCGACGACATTCTGGAAACAGCTCTGATGGATGTAAGCAATGGCGGTGTGGATCTGTTGCCTGGAGAAAGACTTCTCGACCTTGAGCACGCGGATGATATTGTCTTACTGTGCGAAAATGCCCAAGCCATGCAATCCGCACTTAATCAGTTGGCAATCAGTGTCCGTAGGTATGGTATGTGCTTTGCACCTTCGAACTGCAAAGTACTTCTACAAGACTGGCAGGATTCTAATCCTGTACTCACCCTGGATGGTGAGCAGATAGAAGTAGTTGACAAGTTCGTGTATCTAGGTAACTGCATAAGTGCTGGTGGTGGCCTGACTGATGAGATCAATGCACATATAGTGAAAGCCAGAGCGGTTTATGCCAATCTGGGCCATTTTTGGCGTCTTCGTGATGTCAGTCTAGCTGTAAAAGGTCGGATCTACAACGCGTCGGTGAGAGCAGTTTTGCTCTATGCTAGTGAAACCTGGCCTCTCCGATTTGGGGATGTTAGACGACTCTCTGTGTTTGATCATCGCTGTCTCCGAAGGATTGCTGACATCCAGTGTCAACACCATGTTAGTAATGCAGGGGTTCGTCGTCGTGTGTTCGGGTGCAGAGACGATAATTCAATTGGTGTCACCATTTTGAAACACCGACTTTGGTGTCTTGGAAATGTTCTACGAATGTCGTCCCAGAGAATTCCACGTCGTGCATTATTTGCCGACTCTGGGACTGGTTGGAAAAAGCAGAAAGGTGGTCAGTGTATGACATGGTGTCGTGGTATGAAAGAAAGCTGCGAAGGGCTGGCTCCTGTTGGTTCTTCACGACTCCCTGATTGGGGTCCTAGAGATGGTGCAACACAGTGGCTAGAGACGTTATCAGATATGGCTCAGAATAGAAGTCAGTGGCGATCCTGCCGGAACCTTCTTTAACTTTCTTCATAAAAAATGGTTGTTTCTTCCTTAACTGAAAGATTTCTTTTGATTGTACCTTTCCGTTTCCCACATTACTATTATTATTACACTACCTTACACTAACCTATTTGTTATTGCTCTTTTCTCTCTCTTCGAAATCTCATTGTTTTGTGTGGCGCAAATATATATTTGTTGGCCTCCTGTACCAATATTTATTTGTTCAAAGAAATAAATAAATATATACATAGCTTTTCTATTCGATAAAACTAATGGTAAAATACTTTAGCTGTTGTGATGCTGTAGAAGATGAGTACAGTCGTTGGGAAAAAAAGAAAAGAAACCAGGCAACTGGAATATTAAGAAAATCTTGGGGAAGACACAAACGACTAGGTTTTTTATATGATCAGTTTTTAAATCTAAAAGTTGTCTCGTTGGTATGATTTGTAAGCCATGTCTTAAACCTTCATTGTATATTCTTTTCTATATCACTTAGGAACCCTATTGTCTAAAAAGATTGAAACAAGGAATCAATGAATTTATGAGTTAGAATTATGCTTTAGTTTGATTACCTTCACTGATTTAAATCTCGAGAGATTTAGTGCAACAGAAAACCAAGAAATGTACCAAATTTTAGTTCGAATATCACAAAGTACTCTAAATCTACTCCAAATGATCAACCTGTAGTGAAAATCACCTTTAAATTGAACAAAATCTCTGGGAAACCATATTAGAAATATGTTATTTTATCTATTTTGGATTCCGTCACATTTCTAAGTGTTTTACCCAAAAAACTTCAATATCATCGACTGTAAGCTTTAAGTTATGCGTAATTTGAATAACTTACCAGTAGAAGCCAGATAGGTATCTTGGTCAAGAGAAGACAACATAGTACTCGACCGTGTGATGGTTAGATTATTCAGACTATCAGTACTTTTGTAATCTTCACTATCCACTACATTATCTTGTTTTGCTTCGGAGTTTAGTTTGCGCCTTACTGTTTGATCAAATCTTGGTTGTCCCGAAGGAGTAGGTTTTGTGAGTACATGAATAACTTGAACTTCACTTGTAGAAAAATCATCAGGGTTTGATGTATCACATGATTGCGGACCGTCATATGCTAAAACATTTATACAGGGTGAAATATTAATTTGAGCATAGGTGGACTAAAGCCACACTAAATCGAAACGATGAGATCTTCAAATCGAACTTCACGGTAGTTTATACTGATGAGTGTAGAAGAGATAAAAAGGAAAACAGACTGACAACTGAAACGACATATAGTAGCATTGGTCAATATTATTAAACTTAATTTAAAACGCGTTCTACCACCGGTTATAACGGAAGTTCAGTCTACGCTTTTATAACAGTGAATGGAAGTATTTCATGTTGTGAAGCTGTTTGGGATAAACGATCTCCAGCTAAATGTCACTAACTTAATCAACAAAAAGATCGTTTCTTTAAAAGACTAGTAAACCAAAAGTAATTGATAAACTTAAACGTAATTTTCCACTAAATTTAAGAAATGTATGTAGTCTAACAAAAATAACTATAATTCAGCACAGCAGATTAAAATACGTGAATTGAAAACACGATCAATCAGTTTATTTGTATTGTAAAGGTAAAATTCCCGAAATCAGTTAAAATCACCATGTTTTGAAAGGAACTCAAGAAATAAGGAAACGGTCAAACGGGTCGAAAAATAGCGCAAATGTTAGTCTGAGTAAATGAAAGGCACACAATGAATAACAGACACCATGAATAATGATGTAATGTAATCCCAAATCTTGATTCCGTATTATCTTACAATAAACAGATATTGTGTTATTAAGCAGTCACGTCGTTACTTCTTACTACAACTTAATCCCAGATCAATGATCCCACAATACAAGCATCGTACCTTTTTATTGAAATAGTGGGAGTTTTACTAACTAGTAGTTACAAATATTCATTCGGCTACAACGCAGGACCAAGCACATAAATGGATCTGTCCAAGTTGCCAAACCTCATTAGCACAGCAAGATGAACAAATCCATAGAAGTAATCACATCAATGGTAGTAATGTATAAAGGAAAGATTTGTGGAGATAGACCTGACAAGCTTATTTTATAAATAGTCTATGGTACAACTCTAACGTTACCTGGTCAACTAGTCAACTATGAACCTACAACGCCCGGGGATTCTACTCACTTCGCAAGTCGCCTATTACAAACGATGCAGAATATTAAAGCAATATCCCCTCGCGAGCACAACTATCGAGTCCAACTTGATAAAAACCTTGAGACGTGCAAATTTGTCTTCGTCCGAGTAGATGCGGTTAAAAAAACATTAAAACAACCATACGAATACCCATATAAAGTAATTGAACGCACACAAAAATACTTCATCAACAGAGATGGCAACAAGCAGACCATTTCTATAGACAGAATAAAACCTGCTTTCTATGAAGCTACTCAAGTCAAAGAAGACAACGCCGTTGACAAACAACCCCTCCCACCAGTGACTGAAAAACCAGTGGAGGATAAAAAACTTAATACTAAGTCTTCTTGTTTAACACGCTCCGGTAGACTTATAAACAAGCCCAAGCGTTATGTCCATTTCGTCGATTAAAACAAAACAAAAAACAAAGCAAACACCTACCGATGTCCCACACTACTAATTTCACCCAAAAAAATTTCTTTTTATAGTGTACATAATCACATTTTTCCACAATTATTCGTTTTGTCACATTTATTTTTTTTCTGAAAAAAATTTTATGTTACTAAAATAAACGAGCAAACTCTATTTAATTACTCATTTATGTACACAAAAATAAACAGTTCAATTTTTTGGGTCATTAGCAGTTTTGCACGTTATTATCATTGTTAGCCAAACAAGACATTAAATGACAGTGTTTTCATTTTTTGTGTGTGTTTATTATGCTATTCTACATCTCTGCTAAATATCATACTCATCTCCACATTTTTGTTAGTTATAACTGTGAATATTATTTTTGTATACATGTATATATCATATTCTTACATTTTTTTATTATTATAACCAGTGTTACCTCCGGATACTCTGGGGGGAGCTATGTGGAGATAGGCATGACAAGCTTATTTTATAAATAGTTTTCAATGTTATTTCTATTGATTTTGTCAACCTTCCACTGTATGTATATTTAACATTAAATGACTGTAACTGTTGTTTTAGTAAATGATCTTGAACACACTTTCCGTTATGATACTAACATAGCGTGACATACTCTTGCTGGTTAACAAATACACTACTACTCACACATTTCTCGTTCTATCTTCGTTTGTGATTGAATTAACTGAAGTCTAAATCAAATACTATAATTACTTATAGACTGTAATTGGAATATACCACATTCTACGTTGGATTATATCACTGGAGAGTTCGTCAACCCGCTCAGAATCACCAAGCATTTATAATTGTGGATTTACAACACCGGACACAATCAGAACACGCAACATTTAGTCAATTTAAGTAACGTTCCAAATTTTTATTGTACTTGTAACAATTAACTGGTATATATTAATATTACTATTGATCTTTAGTAACTTTGTTAATAATTTTCGCGTTCATATATGTCTGGTCCACCACAGATTGAATATAAGGATATAGTAAAGGGAGAATCAGTTGGTAGAAAGAAAGATATAAAGCAATTTTACAATATTAGATAAAACCTCTCAATCTCATCCAAATCGTCGCCCAACTTTTGATGTTACATCCAGAGTATGTCGAGGAAAATTTGGGCAGCTGAAAGAAATCTAGATAAATCAACACTCAACAACAACTAGGATAAAATTATAGCAAAACATTAGTTAAACCTTCATAATGCTTACAATGACAATCGTTTGAGAAGACTTACCATAATAATTTTCACCAGTTCTATCTTTTATTGGGAAACCTAAAGCCGATTGACTTGATAATTTGTTTTCTCTCCAGCTATTAGCTTTACGACTACTGATACCAGCACTTTCTGTACGTTTTTGAAGTGACAACACTTGATGTGCATACTTTTGCCTTTGTTTGTTGAGAAGAAGTTCTCTTTGCTTCTCTAGTTTTGTAAATCGCACATTTTCCATTATTAAGATGGCCTAGGAAAATAACTAACAAGTCTGAAAAAAGCCATTGGACCTGTAACATTTCAATAGAATTTAGGTAGAAGACACATGGACGGTCTACAAAGCATGAATACAAATGGTATATCACTAATTAAATCTTGAGGATAGGAATTTCAATGAGGAACATGTATAAAGATGGATGAGTTATAAAAGACCGAGGAAAATGAGCTTAAGTATATTATTTTGAAAAAACACATAGTCGACAAAAGCCTTCTGTTTGGGTAGAAGATAGAACATCCCCATAGAGTGCTTATTTGATATAAATAATCTAATTGGACAATTTTAGATATATCATAGTGTCGACAATCCAACTAGTCACTTCCATTCATCGCGATGAAATTTCTGTGACAATGTCTCAAAAGTTTAAACGACTTTAAAATCAAAGTAGTTTTGGAGATCCTTAAAGCCGTAAGTGGAACTCAGGAAATATATGCCGTTATTATGCATAAACGATACTGTTTTGACGGAAGACGATTACCAATGAAATTACAACCCATCCTTTTTAGCAAGAATAAGAAGCATTGTAGTTTTTATAAAAGGGATTACATGGTACCATTCTGCTCAGTTTTTTCCTAGTAGAAGCAAACCTTAGAAATAATTAGTGCTAGAAAGTAGTGAAAGAATCCCACAATTTCCTTAAGAAATCTCATTTATATTCCATCGAGATTTAAAAACTTTCCAGTTTCTTAAGGTTTAAGCAACAAAATACGCAGTTTTAGCAATTGAGGCAATAATGGAAACACACATCTGGTAGATGTTAAGCTGTAACCCTTAGTCAAAAAAGCGTAAATTACATTACCAAGAATACATGTATGCTTAGAGACATTTTTTATCAAGTGAGATTCTATGAAACCTGCCTAGTATATCCAAATTAAGATTGTCTTATATGACAGGAATTTGAAACCAGCTTTATACTATAAGTAAAGCATGACATTAGTGTCTAGGTAGCACCTTCCAAGGAGAAATTATTTTATAACATCAACCTCGAGGAACTATAACGAAACTCATTTAGGTAGTGATGAAATTCAGAAACGAAAATGATATTCTATGATGAAATTTTACGTCACATGAAAGTGAATAACTTTTAGCTACGTAACCACACATTTTTGATCTTTGTCACTCAAGCTTCGTGAACACTACAAGATCAAGTTGCAACAATAGGTAGGAATACGTACCATTTATATGATTTAGTAAGGAACTTAATAAATTCCTACAATGAAGAATCCGTATCAAGATGAAATGCTAAGGGATCAATGATAACACTAGGCAACCTGGCTAGGGTAACGCCCACTGAATATCACAAGACCTGGAACGGTACCGAAACGAGCGTTAAGAAGTAAGTTGGTGTATACGTGTTCATAACAAAGATAATAAATACTGATAAACTCCCTTAGCGACAAACTAATATGGAGAGTAGATGGTGAACTGCTGTCATGGGGAACAGTACAATCGAGTACAATCTTAAGCCATTCCCCGTATTTACTTAAAGTAAATTAATTAGTGTTAACGAACAAATTCAAATGTTTGCATGCACCACAAGCAGAGAAGTTTGCATTCTTAACAGCATGCAGTAAATTTGTAATATGACTACCCCTACAAGAATGATTCTTCTTATAAACAGTTGTTGGAGTTGAGTACCTGTAAAATTAGTGATGAGGCGAGACGAACCAGACACATTTAAGATAGCAGGTCTTGAGTTTTGGAGAGAAATTTATTCACTAATTTGCTTGCTCAAAGGTCGTCTATAAATTGTTGTCTCATTTAAAGCAGCGATAAATGAAACTGATTTTTCATCTGTTGTATAAACTTCTAGAACATCAATGGGAATCCGTCATCCCAAGAAACGAAAAAGGGGTAAATGACGGCAAATTTTTAAGTATCCGGTATTAATATAGACGACAGTGCATCAAAACTTTGCCTTTTCCCCAGACCGATGCAAGTAGTGCGCAATTTCCTCACCCAAGTAAAATACGTCACAAAATTAACACTTTTACCTTCCCGAAAATATATACTTTCCTCAAAAACTAGCAATTTCCTCGTTGCCTTCCATACGTTGAGATTGCAAAACCGACAATACATACAGCAGTTTAAAAAAAACACTTCACTAACATAGATGAGTAGATGTACTCAATAATTCTGAAAAATATAGAGGATCCTTAGCATCAAGATGAATTTAGTGCACCTTTTACGTGGGACGTAAAATGATTATATAACTACTTGACAAATATTTCTTCATTAATGTAGACATATATTATGACACAAACTACATACCAATTTGCAACCTTATCTTCCTTGTAAATAATGAGAACTGAAAACCAGAACGTAAATGATGCAAAAACTCATCTACATCGAATGTCTGTCCAACCAAATACAGTCCGTGTCAAATATTTAAATGTGGAATAACGACCATTTTCGAAATGTCATCAATCTAATAAACCAACTACCAGGGAGTTTGGATACGGTAAAACAAGAAAAATTTCAACATATTATATGTTTGTTGCTTTCATCAGATTGTGGAGATAGTCATGACAAACTCACACTGCTAAATTCACTCAATTTCTCGATAAAATCTACTATTTTTTCTTCTTTTCTTACGTGTATATAATTAATCACATTTTTTTCACAATTACTCGTTTTATCACGTATATTTTAAAAAATAGTCACAATAATAAACGGGTAAATTCTAGTTAATTATTCAATAATTGTACATGAAAATTAAATAATCTAAATTTTTTGTGGGTTTATTAACAGTTTTGCACGCTATTATGATTAACAAACCACGACATTGAATGACCGTATTCTCAAATTTTTGTTGTGGTACGCTACATTCATGCTACCTTGCACACTATCACATTGTATATTACTAACGTGCATGTCATACCCATCTCCACGTTTTTTCTTTTTGGTTATTTTCGTAAATACTACTTTACACACATGTATATACCATACTCTTACAATTTTTTTTGTTATTATAACCAGTGTTACCACCGGACACTCTGGGGGGAGCTATGTGGAGATATGCATGGTAAGCTTATTTTGTAAATAGTTTTCGATGTTAGTTGTATTTATTCTGTTAGTTTTTCATAGCCTGTACATTTACCACTAAATGATTGTACGAGTTGTTTAAATGTATGATCTTGAACACGCTTTCTTCCGTCGTGTTACACTCATAGCATGACACACGCTGTTATCTACTAACAAATACACTGCTATACACATACCTCTTGTTCTCCATTGCTAATGATTGTTTCAACTGAACTCTAAATCAACTACCGTCTACATTTATAGATTACACCCAAATTATACCATATTCCACGTTTAGTTATGTCACTCGAAGGACATCAATCTCACTGGAATCTTCAATCATATATAATTGTGGATTTTGGTACCAAACTCAACCTGAACGCGCACAAGTCAGCCGGAATAAGTAACGTCTCTCATTTTTATTGTGTTTATAACGTTTAAATGATATATATATTACTGTTTGTACTTAATAACTCTGTTACTGTTTTTGAAATCATATATTGTGTGGTCCACCACAAGATGCTGATATGGTTTGTGATTAATTTGGTAATTTGGACAGTCTTGGTAAAGCGAAGTGTAAGGACAAATGAAGGTGGAAATGGCAAGAAGAGTAGTAGAAATAAGTTGATGGCACGGGAAAATGAGAATGTTGGACGACTTACGAGACATGAACCAGGTATAACCAGTCCATGAGGAAAATGTGAATCAGTGGATGAGTGCATCATTGCCAGGCCTAGTTTCGAAGCTAGTTGCTCGCACTCCTACTTTATCGTCCACAGTGTCGGAAGAGCCTGGTGGCATTTAAGAATGTGATCTTCATTTCCAATCGAAAAGACTTGTATACAATCTCAAATAATTTCTTTCTAAGTTCTCTTACATTGTCTTAAAGACACTAAGCTGTTTGCTACCTTTGTGGTGTCTCTCGCTGAAGGCAGTTGTTTGAAGGTTTATGAAAAGGTCACAGTTTGGAGCAAGTTGGTCTGTACCGTGGGAATTCATGAAAATGAGCTTATCTTCGTCCAGTACAGTTCGCGTGTCTGTGATGGTGGTGTCCTGCATCATATGTTGATGGTCGACGCCCACTGCGGATGAAGTGTTTCATATCGACAACAAAGCTAATCTTTTTCCATGACAATAATAATCCATAAGAGTAAGCTATACAGAAAGGTTTAGGTATCAGTGTCACGTTGTATACGGATAACATCATGTTAAAGCTATGGTAGTCGCAAGAATGGTCAGATTTTATTAGAAGGGCTAAGATCTCGTCTGGAACGATTACTGCTCTCACACTTTCTATCAATTAGATTTTCCGCATGAACTTTTCCCTCTGATTGGTTGTCATGTTTTTTAGTTCGCTAAATTGCCACATGTTCGAAGGGCTTATCCTGCTACTGTAGTAACCATCTTCGTGCCAATATCGCTTGAGTTGCTTGTTCCACCACATATATCACGTTACCCGCAACTCCATCTTCTTCCTGTTTTAGCTGTTGAGGTTGGCTATGTTAAGCATAATTGACTGTTGTCAGTTACGAAGTGAACCGATCGTATTAGAGAAGCCCAATTGTTACCGTTCACAAATCCCTAACATCGTATGCTTTACTAAACCTTAATAAAAAGACACGAAAGGTAACTACAAAATTTTCTTTAGATTATATAGTGTCAACGTCATTCAACGTTGTAACTCACCAAATTATGTGGTCTGTGTCCATGGTTTCAGGCTTTTTGGAATTTGGTGGGAATGGTGTGACCTCCTAGCTTGCTTTTTAGTCATATCCCATGGCTAATACTTGAAACCTGATGCGCTGTCGTGATGACCGTGTGAATGGACTTCTGGAGTAACTGGCTTGAGTGAATATTTTCAACGGACAACAGAATTTATGAGTATTATTCGGTCGTAGACGTACATGGAGAAGCGACTGCGACACCCATCTTTCACTGAGATGGAGTTGGATGGCGGGCACTAGTTATTCCTGATCTTAACAAAAGTCGTCGTAGTGACCAACACTCAGTGATTTGTCTGCACATTACTTTGCTAGGACCCACTGACATTATACTGGCCCTACAGAATATTGTGAATCAGATGACTGGAAAGATAGTTTGCGGTAAAAGCCGCTTCGATGTAATTTGTGGGCATACAGTACAAATACGGGTTTTTTATAATTTAGGTTTCTTCATGAATCGAACCTTTTTTCGATAGGTTGCCATCGCTTTTTGTTCGTTTAATGCTCCGAGACTCGAAGTCTATATTTTCCTGATTGTAAAGGCAGAGTTGTACCACCCCACTCTATAATGATTGTTCTAGCTCGAATAAAAATCTTCACTGTAATTTATCTTTTACGAGTCAGAAAGTTAGGTTTTGAAGTATTGTACGCTGGTTGCAGTTACCATTTACTCAACAGAACCGATTGTATCAACGTACTTCAGTTGTTTCAAATCCCTCAATAATCGCAAGTTAATGCCAAAACCAAAATAAAGAGTTAGAACAGGAACGACTTTCCCTTGAATTTCATAGGGTCCTAGAATATTATTAACACAGAAATCGATTCTGGCCTATATATTCATTTGGTGCAGTTATGACTTTCAGAATGTAGGAAACTCAGTCACGCGATACTCTCAAATGTCAGAAAGCATTTTAGAACGACATTTCCATATAAGCATACTGGAATGTGATTAGCTTCAACGTAAAGGGAGCAGATATTTTATGTCAAACGACTCTGCATCCATGTCTTGATATGACGAAGATGAAGATATGCTTGCATGAAAAGTGGATGGGTGGCCAAAGAAAATAAAGACAACTATATAAACCTCCGTAGATGTGTATATAGACTTAAGTGCGAAAACAAATTCACAAAATACCCTGTGTAGTATCACGCACCAGTCACCACACTTAAAATGCTTCGAACACGACGTAGCCAGTGAGTATTGTTGTGCATGTATCTTTTAACGAAGAAGTTTGAAGACAAAGTAAGTAGACTGAGATGATGATTCAGGAAACGACGTATTATACTGATTGTGGAGGTAGTGTTGTTGCACAGTAAAACTAACAGGATCGGTCAGAGTTTACAAACTCTACGAAGCTGTTCGTAGCAAACTGTTCATCTCAGTTTGGATCCGGTATTACCAGGTACTCTTAGAATTTCTGTTAGCCTTATGATATCTATGATTACCAGAGTCGTCACTTCATGATGACGAAATTTGTCTTGATGTTCCAACGCGAATTTCAATGTACATAACCCACATTATATAGGTGCTATCGTACGTCAAAACTTTTAATGATATTATATGTTTTCGACCATAATCAAAATGAGTTTACATATGTTTAGCTGACTGACTCGACTCGCCATAAACGACTGGAGTTGTAATTGAATAACTTGTACTGTCCTGCACTCAAGCTGCACTGTACAGTGAGTTTGCGCCCTGGGCTATCGAACCTGGTGTAAAATGTATCGTACTTTGTGAGTTTACCTAGAAAACTAATAGCCTAAGCAAGAGTTATGGTTGCGAGAACAGACTAGGAAAAGAAAGCAGAAAGCGGGTAATAATCAAGTTTCAGAGGCAGTGAATTGTCATTGAATCTAGTGAGATTATCTGGCAGCCCGGTCACTGAATATCGAACGGTTTACCGATCCCCGCGAGAGTCTAGAACAACTAACGAAGTTCAATGGATTGCATGGCATGGACTGGTCCATGTGGTGGTGGCCATATTGATCCTTCTACCTACTCTTACTAATGTATTTCTGAAGAAACGTCGTTTGTGTGGTACGATCATCAAAGTAGCCATAGTATCTGGATAGAGTGAGGGTGTAATCAACGTTGGGTGCTGATTGTGGAGTATGACTTTGACAATACACGGTTGGTCACGCCATTACCGTCAAACTCGATCAGTCCCTCAATCATTTGAAACAGATCATTTACGTCAGTGACGAAGAACACTAACGTGAAGTTCAGATCTCCATCACAGATTGATTAGTAAGCAAAGCTATCACTGAAGAGATAAAATCTAATTGTTCATGGCACAAATTTCTGTTTCTTGTGGTCGAAATATCTTTCAAATGACAAGATGTTTTCATGATATTCATGGTTATATACATGACAGTGGTTCAGACGTCTGAGAAAACCGACGAATGTAGCTTGCTGCAGACCGCGTTTCATTTACATTTTGTTTTGAAAATTCGAAAAAAGTTTGTTCCATTTTTTCGGCTGTTATGTATGAATAAACGGGTGATTCGAACCGTCTATTCATAACACGATAAATGTCAGAGACTGAAAAATGTGAATCAGCTTCATAGAATAGTATATTGCGTGTCAGTTTGACGTTAGGCAGTAACGTTTATACATATTGTCGGTAATATCACAAGTTTCGAGTCCATTCTAATCAATTTTAATCACTTCCGCGTTG